AAAAACAACAACAAAAAACAACAGCAACAACCAAAACAATCAAAGAAAAAAAGCCCTCCAAAACATATATTTGAGGCAGCATGGTAAAATCAGGCGCTCATCAAAATAATGAAAGTGAAGAAACTGGCATTATTCCGCAGGTTTATGGATTTAAAAAAATTTTTATCAAATTTTCGTTTTTTGGCTCGACACCTTTCATGTTCATTAAAAAACACATTTCTGTGTGGATTTAACTGATAAATGTTGATTACAGGCGCCAAAGTTGTAAATTTGTAGTTTTTAAGGACTCTCCGGCTATGAAAGTTACCCGACTTTAGCAGCCATTTTCTCACTAATTTCATCACTGAAACCAGGTGACCCGACCTCCTTCAATCGCAAATATCTTGACTTCTATTCAAGGTAAATGGATATTTATTTCATCAAATGCAAGGCAAACGAAAAGGCTTTAAGATCATACCAACAACTCCATATGCCCAAAAATTGACGAGTGCCTCATTCCACTGTGTCATGACACATATATATAGTCCAATAGAAAGAAAACTACAATTGACAATTATATTACAAAAATGTCATTGCAGGTCACTATACTACAAGGACCTCTTATAGTCAACTACAGAGGGTACTTCTCTGTCATTGATTAATGGTCTTTTCTCTTCTCTTGAAGATATTCTGAATAAGATCTGCATTTGTTTGTAGTGCATGTTAGTGCTAGGTAATCTTGGATACATGACTGATGCTAGTATAAGGAGAATTTCTGACCAAGAAAGAACATTTTCGTGAGAGAAAATAACTTACTAAAATCTGCATTTCTTTGTTGTTCTTGTTAGTGTATAAATGTGGCTCGGATACGTGACTGGTGCCAGTTGTAAGGAGAATATCTAACCCTGAAAGAACATTTTCGTGAGAGGGTCCTTAATAAAAAAAGGGTTATGGTAGAAAACATAGAATTTGCAATTTGATTGAATTGAAAGGAAGGAATTTACTTCTTTCTCTTATGTGTAATATTGTAATGATACATGCTGTTGAAAGAGGAAGGAATTCATTTTGTAATATTATAGAGATAAAATGTATGGTAGAAGTCTAATATATGTTATTGACTGTCTTTATTGGGGGTTTTTTTTGTTGGTAATATGCTTTTGGTTTCCTTTTGTACAACAGGAGGAATTCCAAGAAAACAAAATACGACAAACATCATCCAGTCAGGCAACTGAAGGCATAATAAATGTCTGTTATGTATTCAAATCTTTTGAGAAGTAATTTTTTTTCATTTTCATTTTGTTTTTCTCTCTGTTACAAGACATATTTTGGATACAATGATGGCTTCTTGTTTTCCAGCCAGCAGATGGAAGTGGTGAATGTGTTGGAAGGTCTCTCCCACTCGCTATCCCTGCCTTTCAATGTTGGAGCCTGTCATGCCATTGACACTACTCAGTGGTGTGTCACAGAGGCAGATACTCACAGGTAACCTGAGAGGTTGAAAAAAGAAAAGAAAAAGATACGGTCCAAGATATTGTAAATCATTCAACCAAGTTTATTCTTGAAAGGTGCTCTTTGTTATTGCCACGATATATAAGTCAATTAAGTTATGCTGTTTCAAATTCTCGTTTCAGTTTTTCTTGATCTGATTAGGCTGTGCGAGTAATACTATATTCAACCATGGTGTTGCTAATAGGGAGATGCTACTGTGGACAGAAAAGTCAGTTTTGTCTAAGTTCTTGGACTGCAGGTTTCCTTCTTTTGGTGATCTGCACTTGGTGTAAAACTCAACAATCAACCAGTTTGCTTCCTGAATTTTCAAACCCTTATTAAACGTTCTTGGTAACAATTGTGCATCTCGGAAAACATGAGATTTTTTACTGAATAATTGTCTTTGTATTTCTGCTCAGGAAGTATGTGCTAGAGCGGAAAAAAGAGGAACAGTTTGTCTTGCGACCAATCATTGAAGAAGAAGGTAATGTTGTTCAAAATATGCTACGGCAAAAGATTTACTATATTTGTTTTATTGCTACAGCCCCTGCTGCGACTGTGACAATAATTAGTTCACCGAGAGGGGTTTCTCACCCTTGATAGTGTTTGCTCTAAGATGTTTGCCGACTGTTTCATAAGAAGTATGTTTATGCATGACTTTGAGGATGTTATTAAAAACAATGAATTGTTTATATTTTACAGTGTTAATTTTATTTAAAAATCTGTTCTGGTGTTGATATCACCTGAGCAATACAGGAAAGATATATGTGAGGCATCGTGGTGAAACCATGCGTTTGTCAAAACAAAGAAATCGAAGAAACGGGCATTTTTTTGCCAGTTTGGCAATTATTATCAAATTTTTGTTTTTTGGCTCTACACATGTTATATCCATATAAAAAACATATTGCCATATGAATTTTAAGGAAAAACGTTGATTAAATTCACAAAATTTTAAGTTTTCAAGGACTCCTGAGCTATTGAAGTTACCGGACTTTGGTGGCCATTTTTGGGTTAATTTTACATCTGAAACCAGGAGACTTCACCTCCTTCAGTCGCAAATACCTCAACTTCTATTCAAGGGAGATAGGTATTTTTTCATCGAAAGCAAGGCAAATGAATAAACTTTCAGATAATACTAATAACTCCACATGCCGAAAAATTGATGAGCGCCTGATTCCACAGCGTTGTGACACATATTCTTTCTTTGTTTTTGTAGTTGCACTTTGTATTAATTTTATTCAAAGCTTTTTTCCCCTTTGTCCCCCTGTCTTGTGTGATACATGATTAGTTAACAGAGGTGCTGCTACGTTTACTGTTCAGAAATAACAGAAGTACTTTCAAAACTGAAAGCAGAAATAGACTCCGCTTAGACTCATTTAGGTGTTTTGAAGTACATTTCCATATTTGAATCATTGAAATTATGAAATGTTCAGATTTTAAAGCAAATTTCTTTCATCTCCAATGCAACGTCATGTTTCATCCCTGCCCGCCCCTTTGCCCCCACTATATCCAAGCATTAAGTTTTACACTGCTGAATTGATGCTTTCACCCCAGCAAGTGGTGAAAATCCCTGTTATTACGGAATGGCAAACATTTACATTTCTGCTCAGATGTAGTAGGTGTGATATTTACTGTGGTCTGCTGCCTCAGCTTATTTTTCTCTTTTCTTCATTGTTCTTAATGGTTATTGCTGGGCAGACTGCCCTTCCTTTGAAAAGACATTTTTTTCTAAGTGGGTATTAGATTCAGACAAAAACAAAAACTCTTCTATTGGTTATGTGCTTTGATGAATGCCAACTTTGTCTCAGGATGTTGACTCTAACTTTTTTTGTGGGCTGGATTTGTTCTCTAGGATATGGTTCTACCCAAATCTTGCACATGGGAACCAAACAACTGAGTGATGAGCGGCTGAGCGAGGTGATGGAGGAAAAGATCAGTGCCCCAAATCGTGTGTCTATTTTGAATGACACTTATGCCTCTGTGCTTATGGGATTTCCGGATTTGGTATGCTTTAGAGATTTAAGCTGTGATTTCTTTTCTTGCCCTCATGCTTTCTATGACTTTTTGTCTGTCTGTCTCTGTCTCTGTCTCTGTCTCTCTCTGTCTCTGTCTCTCTCTTTCTCTGTCTGTCTCTCTCTCTGTCTCTCTCTCTGTCTCTCTGTCTCTCTCTCTCTCTCTCTCTATCTCTCTCTCTCTCTCTCTCTCTCTCTCTCTCTCTCTCTCTCTCTCTCTCTCTCTCTCTCTCTCTCTCTGTCTCTCTCTCTCTCTCTCTCTCTGTGTCTTTCATTGTCTCCCTCTCTGCCTTCACTTTATCTTTACATCTTTTTTTTCTTTCAGTCAGTTTTATTTTTCTGTATTTCATTGTCTTTTTTGTTTTCCTTTTTTTTCTCTCTTCATCCACTTTTTTAAATGTTGCTTTCCTTCTTTGAGAACATAATTTTCTGTTGTACACATTTTTGGAGGAATAAGACAAAAAAGTCTTCTTTTCAATAGAAGTAAAAACTGAAAGTTTTTGTGAGCTGTAGAAAGGTCACGAGTTCATCAAATAACTCTTGACTTATCGTTTGTTATTTTACATATCATAATATTTCTATAGACTGTAAGAAAAATATTCTTCTTCAATTGTCTACGAATCTCCGTTATTAACATTTTTTGCTCACTTACAAACAGTTTGATTTAGAAAGAGAACATTTTGTACCGTATGCATGACATGCGTTTCTGAGCTCAATACTTCTGCCCTATGTAATGCTTTTTTAAGTGCAGAGTGATTTTGAAAAGATTTTTGTTCACTCTTTCTATTTATCTCTTTATCTTTTTATTCATCCATCAATAGTTTATCTCTCTTGTCTCCTTTTCATACCCTTGCTAAAGCTCAGGGAGTAATTTATTGTAAGATACTCATCTCACAGTGCAGATGATTTTACGTACATGGACATTTTATTGACATAGAACATAGAAACATCCCTTGCCTTACAGGCAACACGTGCCGTTTTTATAGGTACTTTTTATATACCGACTACAGTGGCTTCAGTTTTTGGGTAGGAATTGATTTTGTATTTTGCAAGGAAAGTGGCCCCAAGGGCCTACTCTTTTCAATTTGTGAACCCCCAAGGGATCTTTAGGCCCAGTTATCATAATTTTCACACAAGACCTTCAAAATTTGTTGTCCTTACCCATAAAGACTAGTTGCTCAATCTTTCTTATCTTAGGATTAGGGGGTGTAGAAAACTTTGGAAAAAAAATCTGACGCTGGTGGAGATAGAACTGAGGGCCTATAGGTTGACAGTCAAACACCTCATACTGGTTGAGTTACTGATCCCCCCCTCCCTTTTTATCTTTGTCTGTCAGTCTGTTGTTGTCTGTCTGTCTGTCTGTCTGTCTGTCTGTCTGTCTGTCTGTCTGTCTGTCTGTCTGCCTGTCTGTCTGTCTGTCTGTCTGTCTGTCTTTCTGTCTGTCTTTCTGTCTGTCTGTCTATTCAGCTGTCCATCTATCAGTCCATCTATCTGTTCATTTATGAGGAAGAAATTCTACTCATAGTCTCACCATATTCTGTCAGGGCTCTGTGGACGTCCACGTAGCCCCACGAGGTCCCTTGCCTGAGACCTCCTTGAAGAGCAAACCAGACCCACTGTTTGGCCTCCGGTCCAAGCCGCCCTCACTGAACAAAGAGAGGACTATGGGATACCTGCCTGAGTCTGGACAAGTGGTGAGAGCTTTGCCCACCTGGCAAGTTCCCCAAGAAGCGAAAGCGGAGGGTGAGGAGGATTTTTGTCATGGATGTACAGCTTTGAAAACAAGAGCAGAAGAATTATCTCTACAGTAGTCTCTGTCCAAGGTCCCAGTGCTTGGGAGTAAGGAAAATGCAGAATGTTAGGTGAATCGGATTCACAAAGGGGAGAATCTACAGTGACTCGTGATCAGATCGACAGTCAGTAAAATGGTTTCTCCTTACTCTGAAATGAATGACCTGACCCCTGGGTGGGTTTACTACTTATGGCAAGCAAAGAGTGGTCAACCTTTATAATCAATCACAATGGCATGAGGTATGCCACTTTTACTTATATCTAGTCGTGAATCTTAAGATCTATACTGATCCTATCGTTCCACCCCTTTACCGGTCCAAAATTTATAACTTTCCATCTCTGACCTAGTTCGAATGCCCCTGTCTGAACGCACCATTGTGTTGAGACCGCTCCAGTTAAATTTCATTCTATATAGCAAATTCGGGAGTAGAGAAAATTTCTGCTAAGGTCAGGGAAGCATTTACAATTCGATATGATTTTTTCTGATGCGGACTTGTAGGCCCTAACCACCCAGCTTGTGATGTAAGCTCAAGTGGAGAACTCACATATATTTGGTGACATGGTCAAATTAATTTTATTGCTACTCGATATTCTTTCCCTTTCACCCCCCCCCCCCCCTTTTTTTTTTCTTTTCCTCCTTACATTTCCACCCTTCCACATGTAAATTAATCCTCAAATCTTTTTAAAAATTGACTGCGATTGATCCTGACTGTATCATACTATATGAGCATATTGACTGCTCAGTTTAATACTGTCATATGTCGCTATTCAAAGTGGTGTAAGGCAGAGTCTTACCTTTAACAGTCACTTGGTGTGTGGATAGAGACCATAAAGCTTCAAAAATGCATCAGTGAAAAGCCTCCTTTTTGTGCAACAAAGTCTGTGCATGTTTTTAGTTTCTCTGCATGTTTTTAGTTTCTCTGCATGTTTTTAGTTGTTACTGACTTAAGAGTCTTCAAACAGGTTGAATGTTGATCCCTTTGTCTTGTTTTCTGCTCTAGGTGTTGCTGATTCCAACCTGAGTGGGTACTTGGAGGTTTCAGACCTAGCTCATCACAAACTGCGTTATATTCCCATACCTGGGTATGTCTTCTTATTCACTAGATTCTAGTATTTGTTATGATTTGTTAATTCTATAATGGGCATGCCATTTGCTCAGTCAGTAGGCTGATGAACTAGATGAATGACCTTAATTCTAATTTTTGAAAAGGCATTCCTGAAAATCAACCTTTAATTGAAACAGGACATTGCACATGGTGGCTAATTATGCCACTTTTCACACTTGTTATTGCATTGCTATGTTTTATTTCTTTTGTTCTGTTTTTTTACGACAATCCACAATGCCCAGTAGAGATCAACAAAGTTGTCTACTCTTTTAATTTCAAGCCGCATTTGTTTATTGAAACCTTTCAACTGGTCAACAGGTTATTTTCTTGTCTTAGAGTTTTAAGATTTTTTAATACAAAATGTTATTACTTGAAAAAATTACGGATGTATCCCTGTATTTTGTTCTATAGACCCAAGCAGATCTCCCCATATGCCTCCTGGTTGTTCAACACTGCAGACTGCAATGTGTTTATAGCTCCGGGATCCAACGACAGCTTGATCTCAGTTGACATTGGAGGTTGTGTCAGGCAGTGGGAGACGTCCGTGGATAATTTGGGCCAGTCTCTGAAAGAGTGGAGGAACATGTTAGGCTTTGAGGATGGTCGTCCTCTTCAGGTTTGTGTAAAATCTTTGTTTTCTTGCATTGTCAGCCTGTTGCAATGCAGTGGAGTCCATTTTAAGCGAAATCTGCAGAACAACTGGATTTTCTTCAGTTTTGGGGGGGTTTTAGTTTAAAGAGGTTGCTTAAATAAAAGGGAAAAAAATGTGGATTTTTTTTTTTCGGTTTACTGCTGTTTTCAGATTAACTGTGTTTGGTTTAGACAGACTTCACTGTATTTTGTTTTCTGAGCTGCTCCTTAGATATTTTATTTACAGTTTTATCACATATTTCTCATTTTCTAGTTCATTGTTTTTCAACAAACTGACCATAAAGCTCTAGAAGCTGAAGTAACGAAAAAAACGTTTCTAAAGAAAAGTATAACAAGTTATTGCTGTTGGTGAAATATCTCCATGGGTGTCACCATCCTCTTTTGTCTGATAGCTGATTGAAAAGAATGATACCTTTAGTTGTGAAACTTCAGCTAGTTCTTTCATGTATGATCATGCATCTATGATTTGGTATAACATTGTTCCAGTGTTGAATTTGATTTGCATCTGTTTTGTACTGGCTTGAAACAATAGACCTCATCATTTCAACTTGTTTATTGAAGCTGAGAAGGTCTCTGAGTGTTCTAGGGTTTGCCGGGGTAACAATATAGATCTTAAAGCGCATAGAGCTTGCTGTTGAGCGGGGATGTGCGCTATACAAATGCTATTTATCATTATTACTATTATTAACCTTCAGATCTCTTTCACATAAGTTAATCCACTGCTTAGTTTGTGGCAGACTTGACCAAAAGAATCTTTGTGTTTTTAACATTAGGATATTTATTAATTGTGCAAATATTGTCTTACAGTGGTTTTCATGACTTCGCACCTACCTTTAGCTTAATTTCCGGGTTCTCCTTTCCCGTACACAGATTGCTTTTATTCAGACCTGTTCACCTCCACCACCTGTAGTGCTTCACAAATAAGCAGCATGAAATGTACCATTAATTGTTGTGACTTTCAGTTAAACGAGGAGCGTGAGAGTGGAAGAAATCATGAGGATATTGACTTAAAGCATGGAAAGGAAGATCCCCTCAACCAGCCCCATGTTGGTGGTGGCACCTGGGCTGGGGGTGTCGGTGAGTCACATGTGTCACGATACGGTGGATTCCAGCACTCGTCAATTTTTGGGCATGTGGGATTATTGATGAAATCTTTAAGCCTGTTCATTTTCCTTGCTTTTGATGAAAAAGATACATCTGTCTTGAATAGCAGTTGAAGTAGTTGGGATTGAAGGAGGTTGGGAGTCATCTTTCGTCAGAAATAAAATTAGCAAGCATATCGCCGTCAAAGTTTGGTGGCATTCAAAGCTTGAGTGTCCTTGGAAACTGCAAATTTTCATTATTTGTGCCTTTGATCAATGTTTCTCTATAAAATCCACAGAGAAATGTGCTTTTAAATGGGCATAAAATGTGTGCCAAAAACCTGCCCCCCCCCCCCCCCCCCCCCCCCAAAAAAAAAACAAAACAAAAAACCCAAAAAATAAATGAAAATGCTGTTTTTTTCATTTCATTATTTTGACGAGTGCCTGATTTCACTTTGATACCATACATTTCATAATATCTATCATTCAGAATGTTGGAATGGAGTGCAGTTTCTTTGTCCTTTTGTAAAACATCAGCAAAGATTTTGCTCCACAATCCTCATTTTCATAAACTTTTCTCCATTTCCCTCCATTATGTTTTTTTTCTTCTATTTGTACATTTTGTTTTGGATGGGTGAGATGCATTTCCCATTTTATATGTCTAAGTGCTCATGTTGAGGCTGGGTGGTTGGCTCTCTGTTGTGGTTTACCTCTTATATTTCTTTGCAATGTTGGTTTTGACCTTATCTGTTTGAGGTCACAGCATGTTTATCATGCCAACCTACCATAAACTGCTCCTTAACAGTAAGAGGGCTTGCATAAAGGACTGACCATCATTAAATAAGCTTCATAATGGTTAAATTGCCCTCTTTTTTTTTTAGCTGATACATATTTTCAGCTAGAGTTGAAATTGTTTAAGACAGCCCCTGATTGTTGTGGAGAAAAGTGGGTGTCTTAGACAGGTGAATGTCTTGGACAGTGTCATTAAGATACATTTTTTTAAAGCAAGGGGGGAAGCGGTCATTTGTACAGGTGATTGGTTTGATCAGATGGCCATTAGAGCAGGTTTGACTGTATTTTTTGCAATGGATTTTTTTCCGAAGCGTAAAAGGAAATTGTGTTTATATATGATATTTCCTTTCTCGAAAGGAAACTTAATGTGCTTTTCAGTTTCTCATCACACTGACAAACACTAACTTTCTGGGAATTCAGCTTCCCAAGAGGAATTCATCACAAGCTACTGTTTTACTGTGTTGACGTAAGCTGACAAAACGCCTTTTTTTTCCCTTCAGAGCAGTTTCGAGGAAAAGGGGTGTTTTTTTTGTCAGCGTAGCCATTTCAAAATAGAGTCATTCCGAAGTTTGAATTGTAATTTATTCAAAAACTAGGCATAGTTTTAATTTGATTTTTTTCCACACAAGTAGGGTAACTGATCAGGCTTTCGATTTAGCTAATAAAAAGTTTTGATTCAAAAAAGAAAAAAAAAGGCATTTTGTCAGCTTACGGCAGTGTGGTCATTTTCACTGTCTTAACCGAGTACCTATTCTCACTTTGTTGAAGGTAGGAAAGTTTGTGTAAAGTGTCCTTACAAAAACATGTTTGTGTTTCAAACCTGTGACCTTACTGTTGCCAGTCAAGCTGTGTGACCACTAGATTACTGTCACAATTCTTTTCTTTTCTCGACATTTTTTGTCTCCATGTATGATCTCGTCCTTTCCCTCCAGGTGGCAGTGGCACTGCTGGTCTTGGAGGCTTTGGGGGTCCGTATCGCCTGGACTCTGGGAACCAAGTGTTTCAGGTGCCACAGTGGGAGAAGGATGCAGTGCCTGAACATGTGAGTTTGCGCTTGGCATTAAAAAAAATTCTTGTCCCTTTAGATGTTAGTGGAGATTGGAAGCAATACTGGTAAATGTAATTGTGGTCTTTGTAAAGTATTCTCCCTTCCTATTTAGTAAGAATTACGTTTGCTGTCTTTGCACTTTGTCATGTACTTCATTTAGTATTTAAAATGCTCTTTGCTTTCTGTTCCCTCCCCCACCCCTGGCCGTCTCTGTCACTAAGCTCTTCAACTCTGATCACACCAAGAATCACTCCTTTGTGATTTCAACTTTGTTGCATTGTTTTTTGTTCAAAATAGATCACTTTTGGTTCATATTTGTTGTCATTTAAAAAGAAGAATTTGTTTTTTATTTTAAGCACTATTTTACGCATAATTTCATGCTGATAATATAATGGAATTTTATACATTCCTTTGGCTTTGTGCTGTATTTTACAGAAATTTTTTGTCGATTTAACAATGTTTTAAAAAAAAACAAATTCAAAGTTGACATAGTACTGTTTAGTCTTGGTCACTTTTGAAGATGGCTCTTACAATTTTATAGTGACTTCTGTAGCAAACCAATTAGTTGCATTTCACTTGTTCAGGTCCCTTAGGTTTAGATGGGCACTGCCATGTTTCTTTTTAATTCCTTTCATATCGATTCCCATGTGCCTTTTTGCAGCTGAATGATCTTTAAAAATGCTGACAACAATATGAACTAATTCACAGATAAAACAGGCTGCAAGAGATATGGCTCAGAAAGCTTATAAGCAGAGGTATGTCTTTCACCAACAGGTGTCATGTCGACCGGTTGTCTTCTTCTGTTTTATTGTTATAGTTCTGACAAATGTTTTTCTTTATTTTGGTGTAATGAGTATCTGTGTTATACTTTATTTCTAAATTATCTCCTGATAGATCGCTAGGTTTCACTTCTTTGCAAAATATTTCTAGATTAACTCATTGAACTTTGAGTTTTTTAAGGGGCACAACTCCTGATTTTTTTAGGGGTTTTCAAATCTGCTCCCTGGTCAGTCAGATAAAAAAGCTATGCAGGCTACTTACCTTTTCCAAACCTACTGCACAAGATATTGATATACAAAATGGAAAGTTCTAAAGCTTGAATTGTGGAACTTTAGTTGCTTTTTTTTTAAAAAAAGGTTTTTTGCCTTTCACAACAATGTGTTTGGGTTTATTTTGGGTGTAGCCTGCCCATTCCCAATTTAGTTTTGGAAGCTCACTCTTTCAAAAAGGAATACTGAGATATAAACCAGTCTGCCTATCGAGCTAATCACAGCACAGAAACAGCACTTCTTAAAGTCATGAATGACATGCTTACTGATTGTGATTCAGGAAAAGTTGTTTTGCTGAGCCTTTTAGATCTATCAGCAGCTTTTGATACAATTGACCATCACATTTTATTGAAGCGATTTGGAAGTGTCTTTTGGATTATCTGGGACTGCCCTTAGCTGGTTTTCTTCTTACCTGTCAAATCGTTACCAATCTGTTTTTATTAAAGGGCTTAAGTCATCAGATCATGCTCTTAAGTATGGGGTCTCCCAGGGCTCAGTCCTCGGTCCAGTTTTGTTCACCATTTATACTCAACCACTTGTCAAGGAAATAGTTAAATATGACTTTAAATACCATTTCTATGCTGATGATACCCAAATTTATGGTTCAACATTGTTTACCAACTTAGATGAACTTGTCCATCGTGCTGAAAATTGTATTGCCTTAGTGAAAAACTGGATGAACAAAAATAAATTGATGTTAAATGATAATAAAACAGAAGTCATTCTGGCAGGCAGTGCAAAGTCTGTTAAAGAGGTTGACCATGATCACATTAAAATTGGTGATGCAAAAATTTTATTTTCAAGAAAAGTTAAGAATCTTGGCATCTATTTGATTCTAGTTTATCAATGTCGGCTGAGGTAAATCATCTGATCAGCTGCATGTATTTAGAAATAAGAAAAATTAGTAAAATACGTCATCTGATCAATACCAAGTATACTGCTTTACTAGTAACTAGCTTAATTTTATCAAAACTCGATTATTGTAACTCCTTGTTATCAGGAATATCACTGGAGAAAGTTAAAAGACTTCAAACTGTCCAAAACAATGCAGCACGTTTAGTTTTACGGAAAAGAAAGCGAGACTCTGCTAAACCTCTTTTACGAACTTTGCATGGGCTTCCTGTTGAGAAAAGGATTGTGTACAAGTTGGCCACCATATGTCACAAATGTTTGAATGATAATGCACCATCATATTTATCAAATCTGTTAAGACTGTACATTCCAACTCGCAGTTTAAGATCATCAGCTGACAAAAAGAAATTTATTTTACCATCTATGAAACTTAAAACAATGGGTGAAAGGGCATTTGAATACCAAGGCCCCAAGATCTGGAATGCTTTACTAAGTACGTTGAGAGAAATCAAATCTTTTGATTCATTCAAATGTCAGCTGAAGTCGTTTCTGTTTTTAAATTAATAAGATGAATATTTGGAATAATTTTCTTTAGTCAGAACACAACGTTTCATGTTACTGTTGTATGTTGTACTGTATTGTAAAGCACTCAGAGCCTGTGTACTTTATTCAGGGTTAAGCGCTATATAAATGTCATTTATTATTATTATTAAACAAAAGTCGCCCAAAAGTACAGGTCTTTGAAAAAAATGTTTAGTTTATCGAGTCAAAACTTACAATATGATGAGAGTGAATAAATTAAGATCTGACATGTATAAATTGTTTGTCTGTAGACTGAAGGAAATTCAAATGAGTGAGTATGATGGTGACCTGTATGAGCAGTACTCGAAGGGTGTGAGGAGACAGGTGCAGAGCTTGAGAGTCGTCCTGGATTCCTTACAAGTAAGTTAACGGGTGGTTGGTGGGTGCTTTGATTTGGTTTTCTCCTTCTTTTGCTATTAAACGTCTATGGTCCTTATCTCTCCTCCTTCATTTCTTTGTATGCTCTTCTCTGGTAACACTTCTAATCTTTGGCACTAAAATGACCTGTCTGTGTTGCAAGTGCCATAAAACTCTAACTAAAACTAAACTAAACAGGTAAGCTATGAGATGGACATATCTGAAATAAAAATTGTTAGTACTGACTTGCTATTGAGCTTTGTCTTCCTGAAGGATGAGCAAACTGGTTGTCTTTGTCTTTTATATGGCATTTATTGTTTTTTGGGGTTTTGTTTTGAGGGGTGGGGAGTGGTTGAGGAGTTTTATTTGTAGATTTGGGGGGGGGGGGGGGGGCTACTAGGCTACTATGATGTTGATGAGGGTGGTTGGCGGGTGCTCTGGTGTGATTTGCTCCTTCTTTCCTATCAAACGTCTATCGTCCTGATCACTCCTCGTTCTTTTTTATGTTTGATACTCTCTTGTAACGTTTCTAATCTTTGGCACTTGTACGACCTTTTTGTGTTGCAAGTACCGTAAAATTCTTATTAAATTTTAAAAAGATGTTGATGAGAACATTTTTGGGGTTTATTTGCAGGTAAGGTCATTGCCTCTCATGCAAATGTACCTAGTTCAATACTGGGTTCATGGGTTCATAATGTATGAAAGGTGGATAGCGTAAAGGATTTTTGTCAGGCTTTGGGGTTTTTTTTCCTCCGGAAATGTATCTTTGTTTGCCTCCGGAACACTATGACTGGGTTGAATTGTGTACTATGAGAGCCTGTTATGATGTTGAAGAGGATTTTATTTCTGCATAAATCATTTTTTAAGCTTGACATTTCAAACAGCTTCCATCCCTGAAAAAAGATCAAATTACCCCTTCTTCTCCAGTCAAACTTGATACTTTTTCAGTTACCTAAAAGGCTCTTCAGATGGTTACATTAATTTCTGACTGGTCACCCACATACTTGTGCATACTTGGCATTGTGCACATTTGCAAACTCACAGTGGGGGAAAGTTAAGACTCCTGATTCTGCTTGTGACCTGTAAAGAAAGGGATGTACATTTACCAACAGTAGCGACACATCAAGATAATAGCTGTTGTGTAGATTCGCTGCTTGTTGGATATGAGATAAAAGAGTACATTCTTTCTGGTGCTCAAATCATAGCACTAACCTATCAAAGCAGGTTGTTTGGTGGCTGTTCACGTGTGGTTTGTACCTTCTTTCCTATCAAATGTATATTGTCCTGATCTGTCCTCCTTTTTTGGCGTTTGTTTCTCTCTTGTAATATCTTTAATCTTTGGCACTTATATGACCTTATTGTGTTACAAGTGCAGTAAAATTCTTACTGAAACTTAATTTTTTTTAAAAGCCCATTCCTATAAGAGATCAAGTTAACTTTTGATTCAGATTTAGTTTTTAATCTTTAATGGACTGTCCCTGAATGTTCTCCACAGGCTAAAGGCAAAGAGCGCCAGTGGCTAAAACATCAGTCCTACGGTGAGCTTGACGATGCCAAGTTGATAGAAGGACTGACTGGAGAGAATAGCATCTACAAGAGGAGAGGGGAAAAAGAGCCAGAGGTGAGGGGTAATGATCTTTGAGATATAGTGTGAAGTTATTGCAAAATATGTAATTTTAGTTTAATTTTTTAATTTTACTAGTAGGAATATTATTTATGAATTTTGTTTAACTGTGGATAAGGTGAGGTGAACTTACCTGATATCAATCATCGGGTATTTATTGCTTACTCTCAGAAAACATAATATGTATAGTAAATGCCCTTCAGTAGACAACGTATCTGCAAATTTGACGATGTGAATGTTTTTTGTGATTATTTGTTTTGTCCATTCAGATGCAAATGATTCCTTAAACAGATGCAGTTCTGTGAGTTAGCTATGCCATCGACCTTTCTAGACATATACTTTGGAGATTGATGATAATTTGCCTGTCATATTGATTAGCTCTCTTTGCTGTTCTCGCCTCTTTAACCCTATCCGTACGTCGTGTTTTACTATCATATCCATACGACGTGGGGAACTCTGTGCCACGACTTTCCAAAGAGGAAATTTACTCGTTAATCCGATCCATAGGCCTACACTTTGCATAGCAGTCTGTCAAAATGATTTTTCGAGAAATGCTGAAAGTTTCAAAAAGATCTTCGTGCTAGAAGTATTCTAAAATGTGAAGAATATAACCCCAGGGGTACAAAATGACCCCAGGGCATATGGATAGGGTTAAAGGTCATTCAGTATTCTGATTCTCCAGCAAAACATGTTCTTTCATTGCTCTAGCTTTTATAACGTAATTGCACCTTGTGAGATAACAATTTTACAAGATTGGAGAGTCCAAATTGCACTTTGTGGATTTACTGTTTTACAAGATTTGAAATGATATTTCAGATGGGCTCTCCTCAAGAGCACCCAAAGAAACTGCGTCTCTTGGTGGATGTGTCTGGGAGCATGTACAGATTTGATGGTCATGACTCTCGCCTCACACGACAGTTAGAGGCCGTCCTCATGCTCATGGAGGCTTTTGAGACTTATGAGGAAAAGTTTAAGGTGGGGGATGATGTCAGATTAATGAGAATGAAAATAATGATGGTGATGACAATGACGATTGTGATGATTATATATTTGTGTGTGTTTGTATTTGTGTGTGTGTGTGTGTGTGTGTGTGTGTGTGTGTGTGTGTGTGTGTGTGTGTGTGTGTGTGTGTGTGTGTGTACATATTTGTATGTGATATATGTGGTGTGGAGAAATAGACAGAGTAAATGTAGTTATGTTCATGGGTGTATGTTTATGTGTGATCCTTAATTTCATAGTTTTCCCCACTTTTTTCCCTAATGAAAATCCCCTGATTTATAAGGATGTGTTGTCTTTATTTCTTTTCACTCAACAAATCTTGCCCATGTCATTTTATCCCTATCTCTCCTCTTTTATTTGATTTTTTTGTGTGTGCATATGTCGAGTAAGACTCATTTGTCTCTTCTTTATTTGTGGGACAGAGACGGTTTGACCCCTGCTCTTCACTTTTTTCCTCTTTGTATGTTTTCTTTTCAGTCAGTTATACTTTCATAACTGTTCGAAAAGACAAAATCAGTGATGTTCCAACCTTTTTCCACTAAAATAATCATTATTTTAACTGTTAATAATAATAATTGTTATTTTGCATGTTTAGCCCCTTGACTGGTAGCCGACTATGCACCCCCCATGCTAAGGAAAATTCAATTGTGTGCAAAATATCTCAGGTTTCAATCTTTAATTAACGTTTGTTAGCTTATGATGAAAGACAGCTCGGTATAACTTATATCAATAGAAACAGAAACAAAGAGATGTATTTCATCCATTGACAAAACCTTCTTAAAACAAGCCATAATGATGTAAACAACCATAAAGTACTGAGTCTGAGCAAGTGTTCCGAGTCTAAGCGTCGGCTCTTACTATCTTGCGCAATGTGTATAAGAAAAACAACACCCCTTGTTTGTTTTTGTTTATAGAACCCACGCTTCCCATCCAATAGTCTATATGTAGATATTACCTCATAGCTTAAATGGTAGGCTTTCAAAGAATATCATTCTTTTTATTCAAACTTTCAAACTTAGTAAAAGCTGGAATGTATCAACAAAAAACAAAAACAAATTTTAACCGCTGTGTGGGATGCGTTTACAGAGCTCTGGGCGGTGGATTATGAAGACAAATGAGATACGTCTACAGCACAGTCAAGGGGTTAAAGGAATACATTTTAAAATGTTTTACTTGGTTGGAGGGTGACACTGGTGGGTTCTACTTTTTTCTTGCTCTCATTTGTTTCTGTATGTCTATCGTACTTGATTCCAGGCCATTAATAGCTGTTTCATGTCACTGTACAGTGAAGCCTGCTTTATCGGCCACCTGTATAAGATAATCACCTATATGAACAGCCACTTTCCATTTTCCCCCTACTGCACTTTAATGACACCATGTAAGACAGCCACCTGTCTAAGATGGCCACTTTTTTCCTGGACAACAGGAATTTCAACTGTACTTCCTTTTACTCAAAGATCAAATCTTGTTTTTGTTCCGTCTTTCAGTATGACGTCTATGGTCATTCTGGTGAGACGTACATGGAGGAGTTTGTGAAGATGGACAAGCCACCCAAGAACAACCGCGAGAGGCTTGATGTCCTGAAGACCATGCTGGCCCACTCACAGTTCTGCATCAGCGGAGACCACACCCTAGAAGCGGCCAAACACCACATAAAAGCTGTGGGCAAAGAGGAGGCTGATGAGCACTTTGTCATCTTGCTGAGCGATGCCAACTTTGACCGATACGGCATTCGACCGACTCGTTTTGGAGAGATCCTGACCTCAAACGAAGATGTGAATGCATATGCCATATTTGTGGGGTCGCTTGGAGATCAGGCTGTGAGGTGAGATGTCACTGAAGAATATTCAATATCATGACATGCTTCTCTCTTTGTTTTGTTGCTTGCTAACATTTCCACAGGATGTGCTACAGGATTGAGGTTTGTAAATAATACTTTTTGTACTATTTTTGGTGGGCACAAAGAGACAGCTTATCACCTCAAAATTCATACCAACATTATTCTACCACTGCCAGACCTGGACATTAAGTAAAATCCATGAAAGCAAAATCACTGCCTGCGAAATGAAATTTCTCCGCAAAACCCTTAACATCACAAGAAGAGACAGGCTTGAATGGAGAAGTAAGAGCAGCTATCGGCACTGAGTCCTGCATGCATTACATAGAAAGACGGAGAATAAAATGGTTTGGCCGCCTGTTACGTGAGGCTACAACACCAAGCACTCAGTCTAAAAAGGAAGAGGAAGGCCACGCAAAAGGTCAATCGTGGGTGTCAAGGAGACCTAAGAAACCATAATATCACAACTGAAAGAGCTGTGGAGCTAGCATACCATAGAAAACTGCATCTCCCCTCGATTTTTAACGGCAACAGAGTATGAAAAAGTAAAAGTAAAAGTAAGTTGTGCGTGGTTGGCGGGCACTCTGATGTGATGTCCTCCTTCTTTCCTATCAAACATCAATTGTCTGTATCTCTCCTCCTTTTCCTTGTACATAACATGTTACTCTCTAGTAACAACTCAAACCTTTGGCACTTATATGACTTATTATTTTTTGTGTTTCAAGGGCCACAAAACTTATTACAACTAAAGCTAGAAACAATATAATGTGATCACAGATAGAGAAATACACTTTTGTCTTACTGTAACCAACTTGATATGGATTGATCAGTGGGTCGTACTACAGTTCTCTTCAATTGTTCAATTTGGTAAATTTTATCTTTCAAACTTGTGGCCAGGGGCTCTCATGGTCAAGAGGTTACGGTGTTCACATCTTATTTAATAGATCCGTGATTCAAATCCGGATAGCGATGGAAAATTTCTTTTCTGAAATGTTTTCCTTTCACCTCCTTTCCTGCTCTCTCTAACAATGTTCTGTCATCTGCTTTCATCTCCACTTTCTGCCTACACCCCCTCATCACTTTTTCCTGCTCCTCTGGGCTCCAGGCTCTTTCTGCAGCCTTTCTAATGCTACTCCTTGGCTCCTTCTTACTGTTGTCTTTCAGCCACACCCCTGATCTTATGGTAGGTAAGATATAACACCTAGCCTTCTCAGATAAGAGCGAAAAATCTCGGAGATACTGTGTGCAAGTGGCGCACGCTTAAGATCCCTTGGTGTTCCAAAATCGATAAAAGAGTAGGCTTCAGCGACAACCTGGGCAAAATTCAAAATTACCTACCAACCGAAAATGTTTAATATGTCCTGTGCGCTCATATGACCGTATGCAGTTGCGAGCTTCATAAAACGCTTGCTAAAAAATATTTTTTTAAAGTAAAAAAGCTTGTGGGCAGTGGGTTATCTGGTTTGTTTTCCCCTTTCAACTTCCTATTGGTGCTGCTGGTGTCATCACTTTTTCCCCAAAATGTGTCTTGTCTTATGTCATGTTGGTGTCAACTACTTCTCAACCCTGTCTTTTCTTGTACTAAATAATTTTCTCACTATATAATTATATTTATATATATTAGATATATTGTGTGTATGTGCGTTTTTGCCTGCCTGCATGTGTGTGTGTGTATGTGTGTGTGTGCATGCATTCTTTCTTTTCCTGTGTGTGTGTGTGTGTGTGTGTGTGTGTACTTTCTTTCTCTTGCTGTTTTTTCTTCTCTTGTCCTTGTTTCTTTTCGTGCTTTTAAGTGCCCTTTTCCCCACCTGAAGATAAAAACATTAAAGTGCAAGTAATTTGTAGGTCCTGTCATATTGTCTGCTCATTTTTTCTCTCTCAGTTTTGCCATTTTCCTAAGCAATTACCTGCTAAATTATTGCTTTTATTTTACCAACTTGCCGTCAACAAAACTCCACAGCAGCATTTTCTTGCGTTTTTGTTCATTTTTTGGTCTTCTTTAACACTATTATCCATTCTTCCTTTTTGAAGAGTTTTTTACTGGTGTGTGTGGGGCAGTGGTTTAATAATAATAATAGATAGCATTTGTATAGCGCATATCCCCGCTCAACAGCAGGCTCTATGCGCTTTACACTATATTATAACCCAGCAGACCATAGAACACTCCGAAACATTCTCAGCTTCCCGGGAAGCATACAGTGCAAGCTGCCGATTAAGCGCTCAAACACTAACAAACTGACAAGATCTTTCGCTGTCTATAGCAGGGTACCCATTCCCACCTGGGTGAAGTGAGGAAAATTCGTGTAAAGTGCCTTTCCCAAGGACACAACGTCGGGTCCCTGACGGGATTCGAACCCGCGACCTTACGGTTGCGAGTCTGAGAGCCTAACCACTAGTGCTTTGGTGCTTTACTATTGCATATAAGAGACTTGAGTTTGATTACCCTGCCATGTCGAGAGAATTTGTTAGTGAGTATCCTAATCTTTCACCCCTCTTAACTCAGGTCGGCCTTGACAGGTAGGGTCGAAGCCTGCTGCTCAAATTATCTAAATTTTGTTGATTGGGGCTGAAGAAAGCTGCATTAAAATATAAATTGAAAAGCTTCCCTTCTTGAATTATTAAACTTGGAAATAAAGAAGTATTTAACTTTTGTGTGTTTTCTATTCCTACAGACTGAACAAACAGCTGCCCATGGGTCACAGTTATGTCTGCTTGGACACCAAGAACCTGCCACAGATCATGCAGCAGATTTTCACATCCACCATGCTCTCATCTTGATGACTTGTGTCTTTATATCTCCAGCTCAGGGAGTTTTGTTTCTTTTATTTTTGGGGGGGTTTTTGTTTAGTTTTCCCTGAAGGAACATAAGAACTGCTGTTTAAAGTTACTTTCACAAGCCCTTGCACAATGTGCACTCTCATTTTGCATGTATTCAGAGCAAAAAGACAGACAATTGCACTGCTATCTATGAAAAATGGCTTCATAGAAAAGCTTGTCACAACCCTACACCCCCCTCCCCTCCTCTATTTCTTTGAGAGTGGATTAATATGTGCAGTCGGTTGGTTTTTACGTTGATAAAATGTGACAAATTGTGTCATTTTTTTCATTGAAATACTGATACCTTGCTTTTCGGGACACTTCACCCAGGTGCGAATGCCATAGACAGCAGAAGATCTTGTCAGTTTGTGGTATGTGAGTGTTTTAGCTCCTGTAAATGGTAGCTTGCACTGTATGCTTCCCAGGAAGTTGAGACTGTTTCAGAATGCTATCAGGTCTGCTTTGGGTAATGATATACAGTCGAACCTGCCCTGACGGCCACCTGTACAAACGGCCACTTTCTATTTCCGCGTTGCATTTTTTCTATATAATTTAACTGTGTAAAACGGTCACCTGTCCAACGCGGCCGCGGCCACCATACTTCAGCATACAACCCCTAACACAGGTTTGACTGTAGATTGTAAAGTGCATAGAGCTTGCTGTTGAGCAGGAATTGCACTTTACAAATGCTATCTATTATTATTATTTGTTGCTTGAGAGATAGAGAGACAGAGAGAAGGGAGATAAAATGAGAGAGAAAGAGAGAGAGAGAGAGAGAGGGGGGGGGGGAGAAAGAGAGAGAGAGAGATATCAAGCAAAAGGGAAAGAGAGAAGAGACATAGAGTAACAATGGAATATCAGTCTTGTCCTAACTCAATCTTTCGATCAGATATTTTACTGAAGACGAAAACTAAAACAGGGATGTTTAACACCTCACCCATGTTCATTATGACCAGGTTACCAGCTCTTGGAGCTGATGGTGCTGGAGATCATAATGGTGTTCCACCCAATACTTAAAACTTTAAGACTGCGTGAACCAGATGATCATTTTGCACATGTAGATTACACCGGTGAACTTGCCGAAGGGAAAGGGGACTACAATACAGTCACTCAACCTTTGAAACTAACATTGTTGTTTCTAGTGAAAAGTCTCAATTTTATACCATTTGGTAAATGAAATGATGTCACTGTCAGATGGTGCTCTTCTTGCACTGTGTTGGTTTTTTTAGAAAGAACGTACAATTCTCCTTCTGTTGTTCACTCCAGTTTAGGAAGCTTTCTTGTGAACATTTTTTCCCATGTTCTAAAACAAAATTCAAAATTTGGTAATTCTTACACAACTTGAGAACTGTGGCAAATGCCTCCTTCATATAATTAGATTTTGGTGGAAAAGGTTTGTGGCTGTTGTGTAACCAAATTAATAAGAGTTTCAATATTGTGGAAAATTTAGATGTGGGTGTTGATAATGGTTTAATGTGAAAAGGACTGTTGAAATATTTAAACATTTTAATACCGTTACTTGGTATTTCCACCATTGAATGGATGGAGAATTTCTTCACATATTTAGCTCTCTTTGAGAGTTCTTGTTGTGATGTCTTCATATACAGTGCCATCAATTCACTTGCATGTGGTTTCTTGAGAAGATTTTATTGTGTGTTCTGTTGGAAAAAAAGTATTGCTGTAATTTGTAATGTCTTTATTGTATTATATTGAAATTGGCTATTGCTTATAGAAAAAGTTCAGTCCCTTCCTCAAAGACATTTGTGCCTATATCTGTAGCTGGGGTGTATCTTTTAATATATGGCAGGCTTTTATTTTTTTAAATTGTGGCACAGTTCTTTATGAATGAGAATGATCATATTTAATCTATTTGAAGAGTAGTAAATTACTTTTTTTAACATGAAACTGCATTAAATTCTCGTTAACATGAAAGGATTTAAAATCCCTACGTTTTGTTTTTCTTTCCCTCTTTATTCTATACATTGCAACTTCTCTTTAACACGCTAAAAAAAAATTTCAACAGATCTGGGTCAAGAAATTTTGGACCATTTCATTATTCCTCCCAGCTGACGCTACTCTCCCTTCCCCCCTTTTTTTCCCCTCACAGTAGCCTACTATTGTCAATACATGTCACATAATATGCGTTCCTCTTCTATTGAGTATTCTGTCCCATTTCATGTCGGCTGCGGGTGGTGAGAGTACCGAAAGAGTGCTTTTGTTTCTTGCAACACGAAAAGCTTGGTTGCTGCCAACCATATCTAGTTTAATGGGAATATCTATTTTTTGAATAAAATGTTCAGATTATATTTCTGATGTGAAGCTATGATTTATCATATCAATGTTCTGCTGTTAATTTTTGTTCTTAATTAAACTGAGTAGTATTGTGGAAAACCATCAAGTAAACTGCTGCTACTGTCTACCTTTAGTCTCATTCTGTGCTTGGAAGCCATCAAGTCCAATGCTGAAAATAAGGATTCCCCCATTTTCTCAATTTATAGAGGTTGGCAGCTCTGCATGTGCAATTAATAATTAAAAGTAGGTTACACAATGCCTAGCATCTGCTCTGAACTGTAAGAAGGGAGCCGCCTCCCTTTTTTGTTCTTTTCATCAGCATAAATTAAAGCAGAATCTGTTAAACCGAAAGAAATCCTCTTGTCCCTTGAAGCTCATGTTACTATAGAGTATCTGAGTCTTTCTGCTTGGTGCTAGGATGTTGTATCCCACTCAACTGGGGTTGACCCTGACAGGCTGGGTCAGAAGCCAGCCTCCTGAATAATCTTAAATTGTTGATGAGGGTTTCAAAGCACCTACCTACATTTTTTAAAGTTCATGTTATAAGGGTTTTGCTGTAGTTCCAAAGATTGCCAGTGGTGCAATGTTGTTGTCACTACTAGTTTCTGAACAATCATGTTTGCTGGCCCTGTTAAGGATTATTGTGCTGAGTGAGAATGTTTTGTCCTAGAGATGAGTGCTTTAATAAAGGACAATTGGTCAACCTTCACTGTCGGCTTTCCCTGTAGCCTACAGTGTGTGTTCTTTCATTAAAGCATGAGATGCAGTCGGGTACAGATGTATAACATGAACACCAAAAACTCGAAATCAGGGATAGCTCTTAACATTTGCCATTCCTCGTCAGATATCTCTTTAATTTTTTTTTATTATGTCGGTTTTCCCGAATTATGAATGTGTAGAACACTTTTGTCAATCCCGATGTCATTGAGGTATCCGTGGCAGACTTTATATATAATATAAACACTCTGTCGGACGATCTGACATTTTCAGCTCATTGCTGCCCCATGAGAAACGAGCAACTCCAACCCCAAGGGCTCCCCCCTCCCCCGCCAACCCTCTTAAGCAGGGTCTAAGTCTAACAGAATTACTAATTTTTCTTGTGATGATAGAGTGGAGTCTGTCTTAACCTAAATCTGTGAGACCCCCAGATTTTCTTTGTATTAGTCAAGTTTTCCGTTTAGAGAGGTAGCTCAAGTTGCGGGATTTTAATGTTCTTTTTCCAGTTTACCATTGTATCCAGAATAACTGTGATTGTTTAAGTGGATTTCACTGTATTTAATGTATTAATAAGATTGGGTTTTGTTGGGTTTGCTATTAGATGCAAACTATCCAAGTGTGTTTTATCAGATTGGAGAGCATGAGTTGAAGTTTATGTAGGCCTAGCCTATGTATTAATATTCTGTCAATATCTGCAGTATTTTTTTTTTAGTCTCTAATGTTGTAATGTTGTAATGTTGTAATGTAGTGTACATGCTGATATTGTTGCCGAAACTAATGCAATGTTTTAAATAAGGACTTCAAAATGTAAACAGTGCATTATTTCTTGGACAATTAACAAATCGTTTCTTCAGTGTGTTTTTTATACTGTTTGTTGCAAAATTCTTCTATGATTTGTGTGTTTCTTTGCTTTTCCTGTTTACTGCCAGTGCTACACTCGTCTAATTCTTTGTTCTAATTTACTGTAATATTTTCCCTTCATTTCATCTCCTTCCTATTTGCTTTTTGCCTCATACTCATTGCTTTGTGTGTGTGTGTGTGTGTGTGTGTGTGTGTATGTGTGTTTGTGTGTGAGTGTGTGTGTGTGTGTGTGTACAAGTGAATGAATGTGTGTGTGTGTGTATGTGTGTGTGTGTGTGTGTGCTTGTGTGTGTACAAGTGAATGAATGTGAGTGTGTGTATATGAGAGAAAAAGAGAGACAGACAGATGGATGAACAGACAGATGAGATGGGTGAATGGACAGATGAACCGACCGAGAGAGAGAGAGAGAGAGAGAGACAGAGACAGAGAGAGAGACAGAGAGTGAGAGAGAGAGAGAACACAAATTCTCAGGCAAAAACTTGGTGACCAGGGTTCACGATAGCGGAGTGTTAAACTTCTTCGAATTCTTTATTACGTTACCGCTGATAGATGATAAGTATTCTTGTATTGCTAAGATTGTGTTATTTGTAGACGTTCGACCAATGTTAAGAACAGCTTTACAGAACTTTTAAGTTTGCCTGAGAAAGAGAGAGGGGGGAGGGGCAAAATCGTCAAGTTCACATCGTCATTCGATAGGGATTATTAGAAAGCCGAATTGTCCAAAGAAAGGATCAGAATATCAGAATTGTCTGCAGGATTTCGTTCAGTTTTATGCCAATTGAGCTGACAACGTCTCGTCTTATTGAAGATGGACATCAAATTCGGAGATCCCACTTCTTAAATAACCTCCAGAAGTAAAAAAAAAAAAAAGGGGGGGGGGGGGGGGTTAAATTCTGTTTGTGGAGCATGGAAGCCCTTGTTTGGCCGCACTTCTGTTTTATAGTCCTGTGAGGTCTTTTTCTGGCTTGCTCTTTGGCAGCACTAAAATACTATTATTATCAATTCGATAGTTCCCTCTTTAGCTCAGACAGTGTTCGATTCATATTGGCAATACAAGAGACAGGGGAGACAGAGCTGGTTTGGTATTGGGAGAAAGGAAGAAGGGGGAATTAATCAACCAGGCTTCCACCACTCGATGGATACGCCAACAGAAGCTTAGCGCGTCGTGACCTCAGTGCCGGCTTTGCAATTCAATGCGAAGGGCAAACTCTCTCATTTGGAAGAAATCGCAAGGGATTTCGTTGTCACACAAAGAAAATGGGCTATGCGGCTCAGCGCCGTCGATCACTACAGCATTACCTGGGCGCCCTTTGGTCAGTTCAAACCAGGCTGACGAATCTTTCAGTCTGGTGATTATTTGTGGAGGGACCAGAGGACTGACCTCATTTCGTGACCCGCGCCAGCTCCACCAGCCTCTGAAATTGGTTGTCTCGAGCAAAAAATGTCTTATTTGCAGACAAAGTATTTCAAGGTTGCATGTTCGTTTGTTTAGACAAACTTTTTGCGCGATCTTTCCATAT